TTTTTTTTTTTTTTTTTTTTTTTTTTTTGAGACAGGGTCTCATTAAGTCATTAAGTAGCCCAGGCTGTCCTCAAATTTGTGATCCTCCTGCCTCAGCCTCCCAAAGTGATTGGATTACAGGTGTGTGCCACCACACCCAGATTTTAAAACTTTCAAGAGTCACCGGGCATGGTGGCGCATTCCTGTAACACCAGTACTTGGGAGGCTGAGGCAGGAGGATCGCTGCAAGCTCAAGACCAGCCTGAGCTACATAGTGAGTTCCAAGTCAGTCTCAACTACCTAGTGAGAACCTGTCTCAAAAAAACCGAAAAACAAACAAACAAACAAAAAAACAAATAAAACTTGCAAGACTTGATAGGTGATTTACCTTTGGGTACATATGTTAGTTAGAAGAAAGGTGAGCCCCAACTCAGAGATTGAAATTGTAAAACATGAATGTGTAACGAGAAGAAGCTCTGTTTTCACGAAGAAAGTCTGTTCCACTTTATGCAAGATTCACTATGGAGTTGGGTGAGGAATGGCTGTCTTTGGCTTACACTGTAATGCTCAACAGCACATAGCCACACTCCAACACACAGCCACTGGCATTAGTAACCAGTTCCTGCATTCACAGTGGCTACCTCTCAATCGCCCAGTGGGAAGTAGAAAACGGCACAACCACAATGTAAAACCTATCAAGAGAGGAGCATGGGGCCAATGATGAGAGGATAGGTTATATCCTACTGAGTTGAAGATGAGTTCATGGAAAAGATGCCTTATACTACGGTACCACAGTGCCTTCCATCGGTTTGTTTATACAGATATCCATGACAGTCTTTCCATGGTGGCAACAAAATTATGCAAAAGGCATCATTTGTAGAGAACGTACTTAGAGAGATCAAACCTTCTTCCTCTCTACTCTAACTCTTCTTTTGGAAAGATTAGCAACTGTGGTCTCAAGTGAATTTCAGTTGAAGTGGCAGCTCAGCTATTCCTAGTTCACCCTGAGTCTCTTAAACTTTGTAGGCTTCCATTTTCTTATCTGTAAAATGAAATAATACTCAAAAGACTATTATAAGGACCACAGATAATATTTATGAAGCTTCACAATATACAGAAGGCCGCTAGAATACAATGGTCACTCAAATGATAAAGATCGTTTCTGTCAGCCTCTGATATTCGTGTTGGGTGGCCACAGTAGGTGTGTGAGAGACAGGAGTTCTAGTGTTGACTGGAGCTCATCTTGGAACAAGGAGGGGTTTGGTAAAGAAAGGATTAAAGACTAGGCCATTTCAAATGGAACATTGTTTGGAAATCAGTTCAAAGTGAAAAAGAGAGAGAAGTAAAATTTCTGTTTCAGAGCATATGTCTGGTTTATACCTAATGTCCCCCCAAAGTCTCATGCACTCATAGGTGCGTTGGGGAGGCATTTGGATCCTGGCTGTTGTATGATACTTACCAGTGAATTAGTCCACTGATGAGTTTAAAGCTAAATGTGATGTTGGGAGAGGTAAAGCCTGATTGGAGGGAGTGGGTCACTGGGGGCTTGGTCTAAATCTTCCTCCCTCCTCCCTCCTCCTTTGATCCTCCTTTGATCCTTCTCTCTTTTTGCTTTCCATTGCCGTGCCATGAACTCTCTCTTCTGCAATGCCCTCTGCCATGCCACCATGCCTTGGAGCCAGCTATGAACTGAAATTTCTACAAACTGTCAGCTAAAATAAACTTTTCCTCCTTTAACTTTGGGTGTTGAGTATTTTGTCCTAGTAATGAGAAAGTAACTAAGACAGCATAGCCTAAGGGGAAAAGTTCTGGGAAAACTGTTGACAAGTGAATGTGTTAGGCCACAGGTTCTGCTGTGCTTGAGGACTTGTGCAATCATAACAAAGCAATTATTTCATACTCACTATCTAAACTAAAACCTCAGTATTAAGGTTTAATTGCAGTGTTGGCACTTTGTGATAAATAAGTGGGTTTGGGGTACAGGGTGGCCACCTGGTCCCTAAGAGGTTCACCATCATTGCTCTAGAGGTTATTTTTAGGAGAGAGAGGGAGAGTGTGGGATTTTCATTCTCTAGATGGAGAAACTGAGGACATAGCTAGCGATCTGCCTTTCTTGTCACTGGTTATGAACTGTGGCTGTTAGAGTGGGTGGGAAATCTGGGGACTTCTCTGAAGCTCGCCGCCCTTAAGGCTGAGCCACTTCTGAAGCTATGACTTGCTGGAAGGTGCTGTGTGCACTATGAGTGTGTTAACAGGGTGAGAACTTCGTCAACCCTGTCCCTTCTGTAATATTAGTATCATAGGAGAAAAATTCTGAGATCTGAAATAAACTTAATTTAGTTACAAAGGTGAGGGGACACAGGAAGTTAATCAGTTAACAGTGGTGGGTGGCTGGAACTCACAATAAGATTTTTTCATATGTATAAATATAGATATTGAAACCTTGACTTAGGTCCCATCACTGAGCAGGGCCACCGTGCGGTTTTCTCATAAACTTATGAAGTGCAAACCCCAACCAATCGAGAAGCAACAAGTACTCCTTCCTATGGCCCTCCCTCCCATTCCAAAGCTCTGCCCAGCTTCGCACAATCCCGTCCTTCTTACCTATAGTCAGTATAGGTTCAAAGTAAACTACATATGCTTTTTTCCCAAAAATTTAAAGAATTACTCTTAGCTCTGGGTCCTGCAGAAAGAGCTCCAGCTGCTACCTGACTTTGTGGCTGATGATTGTAGGACCTTGTCCAAGGATCTGGACCTTGGCGAACAGCTACAATTGCTCATTAAACTCTTAGTCTCAGGAGATTTGGTTTAACAAACTCCAGGGATGACTTTTTAAATTAGAAAATACCTGAGCTGTGACCTTTCCTCCCTGCACGTCCTTACGCTATCCTTAAATTCCCAGTGTCTCTTTTTATCTTTTGAGATACAAAATGTTTGCAAGAAATGGATAATTTTCCCCATTAAATTAATTAACAGCCTAGCCAGGTTTGAAAGTATTTCCTGCCCTGAGAAATTACAGTTTCGTTTTCTATGTTAATAGAATACATCACACAGATTTATTTGTAATCCAGTAAAATACCCAGCCTGCTTTGGGATATAATTGGCAATGAAAACACTTCTTGGGCACCAATATTCTAGTTGGGAAATATACTTGAAAGGTTAGCCAGCAATTCAAGGCCATGTGCAATTAAATGTTCTAGGAACTCAGAGACAAAGACTGCTGACATTTAATGTGGCCACAGAGGCTTCAGTGGAGAAGCTGAGGTTTGAGCACAGCCTAGAAGGATCAGTGATTTTCTGCTGTGAATCCTGAAAGGCGGGCACTACGATGTATCATCTTTGTTAGTTTCTAAAGAGACTGTGTCTCTTTTGTTCAACTGTATCTGGCAATAAATATCTGCTGAATTAATTGATAGGTAGAGATAATAACAGAAGGTTTTCTAGGCTTAAGTAACACAGACAGGTGCACAAGGTACAGATAGGCTTTCTGTGCTAGAAAACTCCAACTACAAGCTGGCTACAGGAAAGCTTCCTGTTAGGAAGTAGTGAGAATAACAAAGATCTCAGTTGGATTGGCCCACTGTGGATAGGCCCACTGAGGCCACGTAGAGTTAGACGTTTTCCTAAGGCATGAAGTCTCAGACTTTTTTCAGTTAAGGAGTAAACAGTATGAAAATTAACTGGCTATAAAGGACAAGGAAGAGAAGTATGATACTGCAAACTATGAAATGCACATTTGGTCTTTGTCCCTATTTCCTGGGACATATCTCCTGAAACCTTTATAACTTTCAACATGATTAGTGTCTTTTTTGTGTACACCAAAGAGCTGACTAATGGCTCAGGGCTCCTGGGTACCTTCAGCAGAGCAGCTATTATAAAGGGAACAAGCCATGTGATTAGAAATTTGGAACTTCAGCCTCACCCTTCAGCCTTTAAAGAGGGTGGTGAGGAGGACTGAAGGTTTACTCCTTAGTGGCCAATGATTCAATTAATTATCCCAGAAATGAGGCCCTGAAAACCCAAAGGACAGGGTTCCCAGAGCTTCCTGGCTGCTGAAGATGTGCAAATGCCTGGAGAGTGGTGGGCTCAGAGAGACACAGAAGGCCCATGACCTTTCTCCCACACCTTTTCAACTTATCCCCGGGAATATCCTCATGAGTTAGTGTAAGTAAAGCCTTTCGCTAAGTTCTGTGAGCTGCTCCGGTAGATTAACTGAGCCGAAGGAGGGAGTCCTGTTTACTGACTCTCAACAACAAATTCATTGTTGGATGGTCAGAAATCCAGGTCGTAACCTGGGATGTGACTGGCTCCAAAGGGAGAGGCCTCTTTGGGACCCAGCCTTCAACCTCTCTTGTAGACAGTGTCAGCACTGAACTGAGTTGGGTTGAACTGAACCGAAGGGAACGGCACTGAATTGTAGGGCATCCAGTTGGTGTCTGATGGAGAATTACTAAATGAGATAATTCATGAAAAGTGCTTACTTAGGGAGTATGATGCCTGGTACACAGTAAACTCTCAGTTCACAGCTACAGAGAAAACCACGGGAAGCAAGGAAGTATTCGCCATTTTCCAACTCTCTGAAACTTTTCATTAGTCCACTAGTCACAGGACACACAATCTATATTGTCTAGTTTATAAATTACATTACATCTTATCCTTCAAAAGTACCCAACTATAACTTCCACACTCCAGACATTCAGCCTGTTAAGTAGGTGAAATACTGAACTCAACCCTGGCACTTTCTCTCCCTGATTCTCACCACCTGTACCACCTACTTCCAGAACTGAATGGAAAAGAACTAAAACTCATTTCAAGCAAGACTCAAAATTCCAAGATCCCTTCATTTCTCCCAGGATTATCCTTTATCGATTTTCCTAACATTCTAGACCACAGGTTCCCAGCCTGGGGTGGGCAGGAGCAGAGTCATTACAGGAGACTCACAATTCAATATGGGCTCCAGTAATGTTGGAAAATTAAGTTACATAGATGTCTTGTCTACAGGTCTACAACATTTTCAAATTCTGCTATGATTAATAAATTACAAATTATGATTTATAACACTGTCATTATCTATTTTCTCAATATATAAATACTACCTAAACTATCACTCCCAAGTCAGCCTTAAATATCTTTTTATGTTTCAAAGCAGACCATCCAAGTGTGGATATCAGGAAAAACACAGTGCATCAAGGAAAAAAAATTAGAGAAATTCTCCTTATACAAAGCTATGCACCCAGGCCCAAGTTAATAAACACCTTAAACCCAGTAATTGAAACAACTAAATTTAAACAAAAAAGAAGTCAGAAATCATATTTTCCCTTGACACCAAGATTCTGGGGGAGATTTTCTATGGTAAGAAAAATTTGAAATAGGAGAAATTTGCCTCTCCCCATCCCCAAAATAGACGTCCATACATAAAGGAATAGAATCTCTCTACATGTAAATCTCAGAACTTTTATACAGAAAGGAGTCATCCAAAAAACACATGAGAATAAAAACGTAAGTAAACATTCACAGGGCTTCCAAAGAGCTTACCTGTCCTGCCATTCAGGAGAATCGGCTTGCCCTCCAGGTCTCCTCTAACGGGCACAACTGTGATCTTATAGTCAGTCCCAGGATGCAGACCTGGAAACAAGCAGGCAGTGCTGGATGTGAGGACCGGTCCTGGACCTACTCACAGTACTGCTCTTCCGCTGGATTTCTCTTGTGAGGGGTACATGAGGGGCTCCCCTCTCGGGATCAGTGGGATGTGAGGCTCTACCAAGGGGGCTTGTCATTGGGGGATGAGCAGAACAGATGAGGTGAGGGTGGTGGAGCGTGGGCATCTAGAACTTACTTTTCAGTTTTATTTATAGTCCCAATGTTTTCCTGCTCCCCAAATCATCTTCTCTTTACAGTTCTTTGCCTTGTCATTGTAATAATTAGCCTAGATGTTTCCCCATTTTCTTTTTCCTCTTACTTCTCTGTAGAAGCTACTTGAATGGTTCTTCCTTATGGCACAGTATTCAGACTCCAGTGGTTAAAAGCAGCAAACAGCAGTGTTTGGGGGCTCCCTCTCATCCACTCCATAAACATCAAGAACCCCAAGAGAGGTTCTCTCAAGAAGGAACCAGGGAAGTAGATGGCAGGACAAGGATTCAAAGAGGATTTAATGTGTGGCAAATAAGCCTCAGAGCCCTCAGTTTCATGGACTTCTTGCAAAGTGCTATGCCTAACCAGGTACTTGTGCTGGTGTATAACTTTCCTTAAAGAAAAACTGAAAACTGCATAATTTCAAGTGCTGTAAAACTTGACCCACCCTTGCGTCTGTCTCCACTTCCTGACTTCCATCTCTCAGCAGAATTAGCTCAGTCAGAGTTGCCACTCCAGGCCTCCTAGGAGGACACTTCAGAAGTGCGCTCTGTTAACAAGGTGCTCTGGCAGTCCAGCTCTGGGATGCCGGAACAGAGCCTGCAGGGCTCCAAAACAGGCCCATGTGGCAGCTTCAAGGGCAGGGCTTGAGTGTGATTCCGAAGGTCCCAAAACCCTCTGTGCACACTGTGCCCACTTCAGCATCTGCAGCACCATTTCGCACCCGCTTTGCTGGCTCTTACCAGTGATGCCATAGTGGCTCTTGGGTTCACGGCTCCTGGGTACAGTGACCTCAGCCACCTCGTGCCCCGTCAAAGGGCCATACCGCAGCTTGTAGTAGTCCACCTCAGTTGGGGGATTCTCCCACTCCACATCGAGGGAGTTCTCGGTCTCTTCTGTCACCCAGGCAGTGCCAACCACAGCAAGATCTAGAGAAGGGGTCAGAGAGGGCAAGAGCAAGTAAGGAGCAGAGGTCTCAAAGGTATAAAACAGATCATCAACTACCGAGGTGGCTCCCTCCCTGACCCACCGAGAACTGGCTGCAGCCCCAGACATGGAACTGCTGGGCGCTCTTAGGGCCACCCAAGTAGCAATTAGCTGTTGTGTTCAGATTTCTCGTGGAAAAAAACTGTGCTCTGGGAAAACCTCTATCCCGCTTCTATATCAACAAATGCCACGCAACCCTTCCTGGCCCAGCTGACTCTGGCCAAGCCTGACCCTTAGCCATCAGGCTGACCATCCATACCACCCAGCCAGGGCTCAAAATGCTCTAACTAATGCCTGTCCTTTAGCTACTAAGTCCCTATCCTCAGGACAAACTCAGGATTGCCCATCTATCTGTCCTACAAATAAGAAGAATTATCACACATTCATACTCATAGTAAAACACTTAGGGCTACATGTTTGCCCTTCCACTTGGAAAAAACATGAAATCAATAATTAATATAAAGAAATGGGCTGCTGCTGTGGCTCTAGGGGAGAACTTTGGGAAGGACAGTCCTGGAATTTGTTTTAGTTTTTTTTCCTGGTACTGGGGATCGAACTCAGGACCTTGTGCTTGTGAGGCAGGCGTGATGCCACGGAGCTAAATCCCCAGCCCAATCTGGGATCTATGAAGAGCACTTCAAACTCTAACAGCTGTATGATGGAGCTTGGCCTTGAAATGTGGAGCAGGGAAGACTCAAGTCCCCTTGATTCCCAGGCCTGTCCCGTCTGCTGTTCCATCTCCATCTTAACTGCCTGCAAGCATTTCTGCCCACGCTGGCTGACCACTTGTCAAGGAGTCCATCAGGCAGAGTGTGAACTCACTGACCTCAAGGCCCCTTAGCTCCAAGTGGCCCTAATTTCCCGTGAAGGATAAAGATCCTCACGGCACCTTTCCTCTCCCTGTCAGCTCCTGCCTGTGAACTCTCCTTCTCCATTCCATTTTCAGGTTTCCTTTAAGATGGAATTCCCTGAGGGGCAAGTGAAGAGGGACGTAATGAAGGTGACTGGAGGGTGGGAAAAGAGTCCCACATGACTTAAGAGAACTGGAAAGGATTCACAAATGAAAACACAGGGATTTAATGAGCACGTTCAAGATCATGACAGGGATAAGTACTGCTCAGTCTGAGCTTCCCTGGGGAGCACAAAAAGGAATGAGTTTAACCTGCATCAGATTAGACGAAAGACAAACTCCACAGTAGCAGGATTTCACAAGTCCCAGAGGGGCCGCTAAGCGTTTCCGAACACATGTCCCTGTCTTTCCCTGGGAGGCTGGATGCTGTCCTGTCGGCAGACACAGATACAAACAAAAAGGAAGGGAGGAGCAAAGCAGCCCCTGCTGGCCAGAAGCTGGCCTGGCTTTCGCAGCTTGGTGTTTTCCCCCTGGATATCAACCACTTCAGCATCGGCATCAGACAAGGCCACTCTGTACAAAACAAGCCTCTTCTGTGATCATGGCAGGACACAGACAAAGAAAAACATGGCTATCGTTCCTACTAATGGCCAGTCATCCCCGCTCCTGACTAATGGGAATGACAGCCCCTTCTTTCCAATTAAAGTGTCAACCTGCCTCTAAATGAGATTCACTAAGATACCAACCCCAGAATGACCCCCACTTCTTTTTTGGGGGGGTACTGGGGAATGAACTCCAGTCCTTGTGCTTGCAAAGCAGGCAGCTGAACCACTGAACTAAATCCCCGGCCCTGACCCCCACTTCTTGATAGCACGTGATTCAAAGCAAATCCCTGCTTCCTTAAATCCTCCCCCAGATTCGCAGACCCAACCCAAATTCTATCATCAGTGCATTCTTGCACCCTCTTCCTGGGATGCCCCCACAGTTTTCCACAGTGTGCATCTGCCATGCTAAAACAATCAACCCGACTTGTTCAACTACAGGGGTGTGTCTAGGGCTGCAGCACTGACACAGCCGGCACAAACCATGCCCTCAGGCTGCCAAGTCTCTGGCTCACGGCTTTTTCCAACACTGTAAATCCTCACTCCTTCCTATTCCTGCCACCAAAAATAGGACATGCAGCCTGATGTTTCTGCAAAGACATGCATGCCGAAGTTCCATCCTCCCCGGCCTTTCCCCAGAATTTTAGGGTAGGATGGAGGCAGTGAATTTTTTGTTAGCACCTAGAACTGTGCCTGGCATATGGCAGGTACTCAGTAAAGATGCACTGAGTAAAGAGTTAGGCTACTTTAAGAACTTTCATAAAGAAACAAGAATTTCTAAAAAAGTATAGCTGCTAGGCAGACACTGTTAGGGCAACCTCTAGTACTTAGAAGGGGAAAACTGCTGCCCTTTAAGACTGTGAAGTAAAACAAACAAACAAACAGACTATTAATTGCCTTTACAGTTGTTAAAGCCTTGAGAGATGGACAAGGAACCAAACAAAATGGCCAATTCACACTCTTTTTTTTTTCATTGTAATACTAAATTCTCCACACAGAGGTATTCAAGTCTGCCGTTTTTTTTTTTTTTAAGCATGAAATGTATGACCCCAAACTGAGCATGCTCAGAAATGAGTCCATTTCTACATGTGATAAGGAATATTTCCTACACGAATCTCAATAAAAGCTCCTTGCTTTCTTTGTTCAAAAGAGAACACTGCTTTTAGAGCTTTTACCTTCAGGCCTCTCCTTACTTGCTACAAGTAATAAAAGCCTCTCTCCACTATTTTATCCCTTGGTTGTTTCCTGACTTTGCATTAACCAAGAGGCAAACCCATTGCATTGGTGTGGAAGTCAGGGTGAAGCATACACTTGGTTCGCTTCTGAACCCACCCAGGGGATTGATGGAGCCCACTTCTGGGTGTGACTGAGTGGGGAATGGAGGTGTGGCCTTGGGTCCATGTCTGGTCCCTCTTCCTTGCTCTCTGGCACTGCTTCTCTCTTCTATTTTCCTACAAGCATGAACTAAGCAGCATCGCTCCACCACACCCTTCCACCATGACGTTTCTGTCTGGGCACCAACCTAGTATGGACCAAATCCTCCAAATACATGAATGAACTAAACTTCTCATCCTTCAAGTTAGGGGTGTTGGCTACTGTGTCCAATGATGGAGAAACTGACTAAAACAACTGAGTTACCTAGGCAGTGAGGCTCCTCCTTCCAAACATACTGGTGATACTAGATGGACACTATGTCCTTCCAAGCCAGCCTCTACCAGTCCTCGGTCCTACTGTTTTCAGGTATGATCTCTAGGAATTAAGTCACCCAAGGCCTTTGCCCTCCAGCCTCTGAGTTCAGCTGTTGGAGGTTACCAGCAGATCAGAGTGCAGGAGAAAGGTGACTGATCTTCACTTTCTCCTTCCAGGAACAAAATGGAAAGCCTGCAAACCTCTACCAAATGCACCTATACTTTCCTACAGCTTTTTCTGGGTCCAATTATTAACACCCATTTATTGCCCCATTCAGGACGGGATGGATCCCACTGATGCTAGACCTACAAGGTCACATTATCCAAACCCTACCCACACCTCTGTAGATAGCCCCTTCCTTAAACCAACCCATTTATACCCTCTTCCCTGCTGAGGTGGATCTAACTGACACAGGCAGCTTCAAACCTCTCTGAATATAAACTTGCTAAATATCCTTGGAGACCAAAGGAGAAGACAAGGATATAAGTGAATTATTTGGCTGTTGGTGTTGCTAGGGCCAGGTGCAGAGCAATCAGACTTTACTCATCTTGGGGACACAGGGACCTTCTGTACCCCGCTTGGGCAGGCTGCCATTACTGGCTTTGAGGACCCAATAATTAGGGAGCAGCAGGGAGAGGACTGGAACTCTTCTCCATAATCTAGGCTGCAGCAGCTCTAGTTTTCCAACCCAAAATTAGAGCAATGGCCTGGCCAACAGAACAGTACTGTATCTGCGGGGAGAGCAGGAGAAAACATTTAGCACAGGGCCCTTCCTGAAAGATCAGAGGCATCTAGTTGCTTCCTCACCTGTGGTGGCAACCAGGTGCTGTGGGCTGCTGTGAATGTCTTTCTTCACGTTGCGCAGGGTGACTATGTACTTGGTTCCAGGCAGCAATCCCTGAATCTCATGGGTGTGCTGCTCCTTGGGCACCTGGATCTGCTTGACAGAGCGCTCCTTGCCCATGGGATAATAGCTGAGGAGGTAGTGGTCCACATCACTGGTGGGCTCCCAGCCCACCAGCAGGGAATTTTCGGTGCTCTTCAGCAGCTGTAGGCCCTGAGGGGGGATGACTGGTGCAGAACAGGACAAGTGAGAGAGGGCAAGAACTGAGGGACAGAAATCCCTGCCAATGAGCAGCCACTAGTGCTGCATGCCTAGCACGGTGATGGGAGGCTCAGAGGGTGCCACACACACACAGGAAGTTAAGATCTGGCTAGGAGGCAATACAGACTCCCTGTCCCTGCCCCACACTCCTGGTCATTAGATCACCAGTGAGACTCGGGGTCCTCAAAGCTCAAGCCCCAACCAGCATCTGCATCACCCAGGACCCTGTAGAAATGCGAATTCTCAAGCCCCATGCTAGACTTGCCGAATCCTGACCTGAGGCGGCAGGGGAACGGCAATCTGTTGTTTTGTGGTTTGTTCATTCTGCCGTAAGGGGATTAAATTCCGAGCCTTCTCTCTAAGCTACACACAGCGTTTTTTTTGTTGTTTTGTTTTGTTTTGTTTTGTTTTGTTTTAAACAGGGTCCAACTCGGTTTCCGAGCTGCCCAGGCTGAGATCAAACTTTCATAGGAGGCCGCCTCCTACAGTGCTGGAATTACAGGCGGGCAACACCACCCAGCAGTTCGCTTTAACGAACTTTCTAGAGCATTCTGTTGTTAACTAAAGGTTGCGACCCCTCCCTGGGCAGGTCAATGTGTAACTGGTGTTTAAAAGTTCAGGGAGACCTTGGGTGGAAGGAAAAGTGACGGCAAGGACACTCTCCGCTCTCACCCTGGGAACAGTCCGGACCGGTGAAGCCCAACTCGCAGTAACACTCGCCGGTGTCGCAGAAGCCATGGCCGCTGCAGTCGCCGGGACAGCGCTGCTCGCTGCAGTCCTCGGCCGTGAAGTCCTCGTGGCACTGGCAGACGCCGCGCACGCACACGCCGTGGCCAC